TACCTTGCTTATTGGATAATGCGACACTGGAAACAATGTGGGAGGTAAAGCTAGGCCTAAGAGCCTATTTGCCTTTTGGAGCTGCTTGCTTCATGGTTCTCTCAGCTTGTAGCTGACTGCCAGCTAATTTCTAGTCAAGCGCTGGCTGGAAATGGTTAGATAGAATCTTAGAAGCTAAGGAAGTCTTCAGGGATGAATCTGCAATGGTGGAAGATCAGGCGGTTCGATGAGCTAATGCATCAGACTGCAAAGCTGTATAAACTTCAAGGTTGGTGATTCAAGCTCACCAGCTGCTCCTTGGAAACCCTATACAGGGTCATTATGGGTCGGAATCGACTCAGTGGCACTTAACAACAACAAAAATACCTGAGAGTAAGTAAAAAAGCATTGCTACAAAATCAAGGAACCCTTTACTAAGTAAAAACATCTATATGAAGGCACCCTATTGTGCACTGAACTACTCTACATGTCTCTTCTAGCCATAGCCTTTGTTGTGGTTGCTAAGTGCCCTGGAATCAGTTCTGACTCATTGTGACCCTATAGAGAGTTTCCAAAGAGACATAGCTTTTCAGGAGCAGAAAGCCTCATCTTTCTCCTGTCAAGCAGTGGATGGGCTCGAACTGCCAAGGTTGTGGTTCACAGTCCCAGTGGTTGTCATACAGACCACCTCCCACCAAACTTCTTTTTCCTAATGGGCCTGAGAAAGAGAGGGAAGGGAAAGGAAGATGCTGTTGCATTGCATGATCAATTGTGAGCTGTTGTTAACAGGACTAATTGTGGTTGGCTAGTTTTGCCATTGTGCTGGATACACACTGAGCCATATCAAGAGCAGGAATGAGGGTGGGTGGGGTGGGGGTGGGGTATGACTACCATCAAAGAAGAAAAGCAGGAGTGGAGCACATCCTTTGGATGCTGAGATCCCTGCACACTGAACCTCCCTGACCTAGGGACAGAAAGCTGTGACACTGGAGGGGTTACAGAGGAGCCAGCACACAGGACACTGGTGGGCTTCACAGTCCACAGAGTGAGTAAAGCTGAGTGATTTAGGACAGAAGGTTTGCTTGCACAACGGGGTGCCTCCAGGTAACATTGTTAGAGCAGGACAAGAGTCAGACCAAGGGGCCAAGGGGCAGAGAGAGGTCTTCCTGCGGGCATGCCTGCAAACAGGCTGTCCTGCCTGCGAAAACTCTGCCCTGAGCATTTCTGATCCTGATAACTTCCTTAATAAATCCCATGTATGGTGTCTGAGTTCTCTGTGGCCATTATAATGAATTATTATCATAGCTATGTAGAGAGGCTATGGGATGGATACTTGTTATTCTTTGCACACTAATGAGACTATAGGATAAGCTCTGGACTGCTAACCACAAGGTTGGCCATTCAAACCCACCAGCTGCTCCTTGGAAACCCTATACAGGATCACTGTAAGTTGGAACCAACTCATGACACTTAACAACAATGAGATTCAGGGGTCCTGGTGTGCTGCTATAGGATAAACACTGGATTAAGTGCAAGGCCAGTGGGTCAAGGCTATTAGCCACTCCTTGGAAACCCTATACAGGGTTACTGAGTTGGAACTGACTCGATGGCACTTAATGAGTTAAGACGCGTGTATTACTGAGAAAACTTGTGTGCAGCTATTCACTGATGGAAGAGACATGTTTTAACATGTTTTGCTTGGAATAAACCCATGCATGTTTGAACAGAAACCCTCGTAGCAGTACTTTTTACTTACCGTGGTACATATATTCCAGCAGTTATTTCCACACATCGGTCATTTCATGTCATTCAGCCTATTGGACATCTATTTGTTCTTTACAGAAATCTTCTGACATAGGAAGGAAATTCAGAGAAAAAGAACTTGTTATAGGTCACAGTAAATAGCAAGAGTAGGTCTAGATTCTAAGTTATCTGGTGTTAAATTACATTTCCTTTTCCTTATACAGTAGTTTAAAACCATCCTTTACTATATAATACATAAAACATAAATACAAAGTATTTTTAAAACACTGTTTTCTACATATCCATCCCTACACCTGGCTAATCTGTGTGACAAACACACACAGAGCTCTCCCTCCTATTTGCTTCATCTCTGCTCACTGTCTAGGTGGCCTGGCCTCATTCCTCTCTCACACATTAGTTAGCTATCTCATCATTTTGAAAGAGGAATGTGGTGTGGCTTCCCCCTTGAGCTACTACTTAATTTGTCTGCCTCCTTTATCCTTCCAAGCCCACTGTGATCGCTGGGTCTTTAGAATACACTTTGAGCTATTGCTCTAGTCTCAGCCCCAAAGACATTAAATAATTAACTCCCATCACTCTCTTTGTGTGCCTTATTTCTGCATCACCCCAAAATAGCTAGTGGCATTTCCTCAGCGTAAATAGGAAGCCGAAAGGTCAATTGGCATTTGTGAAATATATATTTTACAAAACAGCAGGCTAGTAGGGTCCCTCTGTTCTCTCATATCTCTGACTGTTTTGTAACAAATGACTTTAGCTGATTTCCCTCTACCATCTTGCAGTATGCTCGGTTATTTAACGCCACAGCAGAGTTGCCCAGAACAAAGACTGAGAAGGGCTAAGGGAGAAAAGCATTTTACCAATGGCAATCATAAAAAAGTATTTTCTTCTAGTCATCTGATGCCTTGCTTCCCCCAGTGAGACAAGGGAAAGGGAACTGTGAGGGGCCTCCTTCTACAAGGTCTGGGACTGGATTCTCAAATGGTATTTCTCTCCAGCTTAAGTATGTTGTGGTGCACACCACAAGTACTAGAGAGGTGAGATGTTCTCAATCTGCCATCTGTCTTCCTGGAAACATCTTTGTTGTTGTTAAATGTTGTCGAGTCAGTTCTGACTCATAGTGGCCCTGTATAGAGGTTCCAAGGAGCAGCTGGTGGGTTTGACTTGTGGCTAGCAGTCCAGTGCTTATCCTACAGTGCTATACCAGGACTCCTAGAAACATCTAAACTTGTGGATGGTGATGTGTTTGTGAAAGATGGCAGAGCATATATCAATATCTACTTCCCCTTCTGATCTAGCAAATCACAGAACCCTAAAGTTATAAAGAAGATCTGGTGTGGCACTGCAGGGGATGCACTGGACTGCTAACCCTAGATTCACAGTTCAAACCCACCAAGTGCAGCTCCTCAGAAACCCTCTATAGGGCCGCTGTGAGTCAGAACTGACACGCTGGCACTAACAACAAGAAGGCTATAAATATAAAAACAGCAGAGATTCAGTAAGTTTCATCAACTTGGGTGCTATGACCACACCCCTCCTTCATACCCAGGTGCAATCTGAAGGGCTCTGGGAGCCCCAGGGAGCTTTTCCTGGGCCTTAGGTCTCCTCCCCATTAGCATGATGGAAACCTCCATGCCAGCTCCCAGTAGTGAGTGATCACAGGTCCCACTGTGGACTGCAAGGCCGCTTTAAATCACAAGGTCGGTGGTTCAAGCTCACTCGCTGCTTTTTGGAAACCTTATACAGAGTCAGTATGAGTTGGAATTGACTCAGTGGCACTTAACAACCACCACCATAGGAATGGAGTCCTGGTGTGGTGCTGTAGGACAAAGCACCGGATCACAAGATTGGTTTAAACCATGAGGTTGGCGGTTCAAACCCCACCAATTGCTCCTCAGAAATGGTAATACAGGGTCACTATGAGTCAGAACCCACCAGACAACACTTTACAACAATCATGGGAACAGTCATGGGTCCCAGTTTTGACTTGAGTAAAATGCTCAAGTTCGGAATTCTGAAGAATCTCAGATCCCACCCCCAGGAGCCAGTATTTATAGCCCGCCCATTCTGTACCAGACACAGAGGGGCAGGGCTGTGAGAGGGTCTACTGACTCTTGTCTCCCAGTGGGGCTGATTCCCTGGCACACCAGGAGAAAGGGGGAGGACAGGCACCCTGACTTTGTGAAGAGACATGTGCAGACTTGTTCTGCCCCCAACCATTGTATGAAGGAGAAACCAGGAATTGAGGGGAAATGCCACAAGTCTTTGGACACCACAGATGTTGTGGTTCACCTGGACACCCATGTTTCCTCTGGTTGCTGGGGAGAAGTGGGGGTGAGGCCCTGGGGCAGGCAGAGATTTGGAGCCACAGTAGCTCTGCTCCTCAGTTCTTAAAGTGAGCCCAAGTCACAGTTGGACGTCTGTGTTTTTAAAGTACTCACTGTGAGGTAGTTGAAGTCATTCAGTGCTAGTCACTCGGATATGGAAAAGATAAAATATGTGATTTATTGTACAGTCATAGAAAATATAATTGTTAGGAATAAATGTCTTCAATGGTGCAGGAGTTAGTTTGGAGAGTAAATTATAGACAGGAATCACACATTGGTATTTAAATCCAGGTCCTGTTAAATATATTCACTTCTTGTTAGTCATGGAAGGCCAAAAGTGGACCCAAAGCAGGCCATCTCAGACAGGGATGTTTGGTTATGAGCAGTTGCTTGGTGTGTTAGAGACCAGTGTCCATTGACCTATAGGAGCAGGCTGGCCACACTGCACTGAGAACCAACCAGAAACAATAAAGAATACAAAGCTTCTTCCAGTGGCAGTTCAAGCCTTCTGGAACCCCTAAGGGAATTCATGAGGGAAAATGTTTAGCAAGAAGCCAGAACCGTATACAAGCCTCTCAGGATGTCAACACTCCAAGTATATGTAGACAGGTTTTCTGCTTGATGAATGGAGTCCTTGGGTGGCTCAGTTAACATGTTTGGCTGCTAACAGTAAGGCTGGAAGTTTGAATTTACCCAGAAGTGCCTTGGGAGAAAGACTTTCTGAAAAACCAGTCACTGAAAACCGTATGAAGGACAACAGGGCAGTTCTACTCTGACACACACGTGGTCACTCAACAGCAACTGGAGTCACTCCTCTGCCTGACAAGGAACTGAGAGTAACCGTGGCAGCTCCACATATGAACCCATTTTCCATTCCAGAGTCCAGTCTATGTGTTCAGTTTGTCCACTTGAGTATCTTGTTTTGACAGTTGCTTAGCAAAGGTTCTCGAGTGTGGACCCTTCTCCCATTGTGATGAGCAACTGTTCCTCAAAGTAAAGGAGCTGGTCAACCTCAAAACAGTCGCTGGCCCGAGGTACCACCTTTTCCAGAGACTCCCGGATCTCTGCCTCGCTGGCATGCTGCTGCCTTGCTCTCTTGAGGTAATTGTAGACTTCTTCAAACACTTCTAATCCCAGTTTCTGCATAGCTGATCTGCCAAGCAAGTTACAAAAGATGATGAATTAGACATTAAGGGCACCTACAAGAAAAATGTATTTTTAAATCATTACATACATAACATTGCAGCCACTAGAGTTAGAAGAAAAAGAAGGAAAAAAAATAAAGGCACAATGTCTCCACTGTATCCAACAATATTCAACACATTCTTTTTAAATGTCTGTTATGTGCCAGGTATCCTTCTAGGAACCATGAATAAAGAAGTAAGCAAATTAGGCACATTCCTGTCGTCATGGAGCCAGCCGCTCTTCTGGGGCAGAGACACAGAGTAAACAGATAAACAGATAATAAAATGTCAGGTGGTGCTACCTGCGATGACAAAGTTGGGTAAGAGATAGAGAAGGGAGGTAGACAGGGAAATCCTCTAGAGGAGGTGACGTTTGAGCAAAGACCCCATGAAGTGAGGCATCAACCCATACAGACACTGGCAGAAGAGAGTTTAGAAAATCTCTTGACGAATATCAAGGAGGCTGGGTGTCCAGAGTTGAAAGAACAAAAGGAAAGAGGATGATGGGAAATAAAGTCAGAGAAGCAATTAATTAAAAAAATTGAGGAGAAAGAAAAAGAGGGTGAAAAGGATTGTTAGCCATGTGCCAGGTTCGTCCGGCAGCAGAAGCCCCGATGGCATCTTGGGTTTGGACTATAAGGTCAGCAGTTGGAGCCCACCAGCCTCTTCCAGGGGAGACATGAGGTTTTCTGCTCCTGCAAAGATTTATAGCCTCAGAAGCCCTATGGTGCATATAGGGCTGCTATGAGTTGGACTCCAGTGAATAGTAGTGGGTTTGGTTTGAAAACTTTATGACAGCTTATAATGGGAATTTTTTTTTTTTTTTTTCAAATCCCCATTTTATAGATGAAGAAACCGAGGTTTAGAATAATTAGGCATTGTTCCCACCAAGGCCAGCTTTTATTTTTCTGTACATACCTCCAGTCCTTGTCTATATGTAGAGATAATGTTTGCATTGTTACCATTGTTGTGCCATACCAGCATCAGATTGTACTTATTTCTCCTCTGAATATTTTCCTCTATTTCTAGCAAGGGTCACCCACTATGACATGTTTTATATGGTCAGAACTGCTTGACTTAAGATTATTTTTTCAATGTTGAGTGTCAATGCCCTTAGACAGGGCAGGTAATTTCCACTTGTTCCTGTTGGACTATCTTTCACTTCCTCCCAGTTTCTACTAGGCCGCCTCCCATACTTTCATCTGCCTGGCTCAGAGGCATTTGGGTATGTGAATTTTGTTCTATACTTCTAGAAACTGCCATTTAAAATGGTTCCATAATATCCCAGTGAGCTTATGTGTCAACACCTATCTAACCATTCCTCCACTGAACATTTAGTTTTTGTTACTCACAGAGTGTTTACTGAAAGAGAATCTTTGGGCATGTAGCTTTTCTGTTTAGGAGAGTATTTGCCGGTATCAACTTTCTAGATTTAGCACCAACTACATGGGCATGTTTCTTTTCTCTGTGAAGTCTCATATTGTTGTAGTTATTATTATGTGCCATGGAGTCAGTTCCGACTCATAGTGACCCTGTACAGGGTTTCCGAGGCTGTAAATCTTTACAGGAGCAGAAAGCCTCATCTTTCTGCCGAGGAACAGCTGGTAGTTTCGAACTGCTGACCCTGACGTTCACAGCCCGATTTGTAACCACTACGCTACCAGAGCTCCTTGAAGTCTCATTATGTCTGGTACTTGATTAAAAGATAAACATTTTGTGGGAATTGGATTATTAAGTCAAAATGCATACGCTGTTTCATGGCTTTCATCTTGAAGTTTTTCTTTAGTCTTCATTTCAGTGGATGTGTGCTTGCTGTTGTCAAGTGCTGTGCAGTCGGTTCTGATTCATAGTGACCCTGTATAGCAGGGGTGGGGAACGCCCAGTCTTGAGGCTTTATAAGATCCATAAAATCATGTGGTCTGGCCCTGCCAAGGCAACTGCAGTTACACCCATCGCATTAGGGGTGAGTTAATTAAATGTTTGACCAAATATAGCAGGCTAGTGTTTAAGTTGATAATTTTGTATGGCCCATGAATAATGGTGTAAATATCCAAATGGCTCTTGGCAGAAAAATGGTTTCCCGCCCCTGCTGTACAGAGGTTCCAAGGTGCAGGTAGTGGGTTTGAACCACCAACCTTGTGGTTAGCAGTCCGGCAGTTATCCTACAGCACCTCACCAGGACTTAGTGAAAAGCAATTGGTGTGTTTTTTTCAGAACTTGTAAAGTCTTAAGGAAAAGCAGTATTGGTGAGAACAATAACCCTCAAGGAATTAATCAAATATGCATACATTTTATAAGCTTTTATTGTATAATATTCAATCTTTAGATGGAATC